TTCCCAGGCACCATTTGCTACCAAATTTCACCTTTTAGGTATGAATGGCTGCAGCAGATAATCCTTATTACGGGAGAAGATGCTTACAAACAAGGATTATTCCTGACTCCCCGGATTCAAGGCTACTGGGAAGCCACTGTCCACAGCACCCAGCTGCCCATCAGCCTCTCCAGAAGTTACAGAAGTCAGTCCTGAGCTAATGTCAGCTTGGCTGGACCTGTGCTCCCTTCCCAGGGCACAGGCAGCTGGAGACGGGCACATTCCTTCTGGGTGTGGGTCTTGTCCCCTCGTGGGAACGCCAGTGGGTCTCTGGGAGATCTGCCCTTACATCCCCCAACTCACCTAGCCCCTCTCCCCTGGGCATGTCTGGCTTCATCAGAAGCTTCAGTCACCTCAAATCATTGACCCCTGACTTAGGACACCAGGGGGGTTTCCTCGCCCTCCACTCCCCACCCCAAAGGGCCAGGCGGGCCACCTTGCTGACACTCAGAGCCTGACCTGGAGGGGTGCCCTTCTGATGGGCAGGGCTGGGGATCAGGGAGTCGGGGATCACACAGGAAGAGCGAAATAGGCTGAGGAGGTAGGGATGGAGGGGGTGGGGAGAGGGTGGTCATCCGATGGCAAAGAGCCAGCAAAGGAGCCACAAGGGCTGGATATCAGGAGCAGCAAGAAACTCCACGGCCTTGGGGAAACGAACCAGCCTGGAAGGGTCCCAGAAGGGTCACGGCCTGGTCCCAGCAGTTCTGCCTCGGGAGGCCCAGGCCTGGCCAGGAACATTCCAGAGGCTATGCAGCACCAGAGCGAAGGGGTGGGGCAGCGGAGAGAGAGCCAACCAAAGCAGGCCGGACATTCGATCCAAGACGGCTCAGGCCCAGGGTGGCACTTCAGACCCGATGACGGTAAGAGTGGCCAGCACCCCTGACCAGTCCCCAAGGCTTTCCAAGGACCCTGAAAAGCTTGAAGGCCCAGAGCAAAGGCCCACCAGGACAGAGGCTGTTTCTGTGCACTCAGTCTCGTGGCAAGGGCTGTCCTCTGTGGACAGGAGCTGCTGGCATTAACTTAGCAGGAAGTGAGCACTGGCTCGTTACTATTTTTAGCAGCTTGTGACAAGCTGGCTGAGCTGTCCTCTTCAGAATCTTAGGACTCCACTGCCACACGACACTCCCGAGAGCAGCCAGCAAACAGCCGGCCTGCACCCACAGCACACATGCTCATAACCTCCGCTGGCCATTTCCCCAGATGTTTTCACTCGGGCCACTTCCTGAGCATCCGCTCCTCCCTCATGCTGTCTTCCTCACAAGAGGCCAACACCCAGGCCCCGGGACCCACAGAACACGGGCACCAATCACCTCCTGGGGAATGTGGAACCTCCTGTGTGTCCTCAGGACTTAGGGGTCTTGCCCAGAAGCAGCTGACCAGCAATTTTCAACTCCCCATCCCAGCTCACCCATAAGGAATACCCCATTTCTATGTAACTGACCCAAAGTGGTGGTCAGGCACCAGGCAGTGTCAACTGGGCTTAAGAAATGGTACCGAGGGCCAAGAAAATAGTATGGTGGTTAGGGAAGAGGCCTGGGACAAGCCTGATCCTGATTTGGTTCCCAGCACCACAGGGTCCCCCCCAGCACTCCCAAGTGCAGCTCTGAAGGCCCCAAGGAAGCCCCAGTGTTTGCTTGGGTATCCCCAGCACCATGGAACCGGAGCAGCAATGCATCCTTGGGCTGTTGCACTAGACGAGTGGCTCAGCAGGCAGTGGCTGGTGGGGCCCTCGAATCTCCTGAGCACTGCTTGGGATCACCCCACCCCCAGGAAGAAAAGAAACAGAACTGAGGCAAAGGCAGACACTGACAGGACTTCCAGGCAAGTATGCAGGTCTGGCCTTACATGGGGAACAACTCTTCTTCCCTGCACGGAAAACCTCAGTCATGGACCAGGCCATGTGCTGGCCTGGGGGAGGGGTGGGTTTTATAGCCCATGTCATTGAACCAAAGCAAACAGCTTCCGGGGGGCCATGGGGTCCAGAAGAGGGGAGCAGGCAGTCCGTGCATTGCCTCCCCCAGCTTCATGGGGGCACAGACTGCTGTCCTTCCCACTGTCCGGAACGCCTCCTGGTGAGGAGCCCCCCCAGGATACAGCAGCAAAGTCCTCGAAGTTGTGAGCGGAGCGCGGAGAGGGACTCTGAGTCTGCAGAGGTCTCTCACCAGACGAGAGTCAGCCCGTTCTGCCCACGGCGATGCCCCTCTGATCCTCGCTCCGCAGACGGGATCTAGAGCACTGCTCCACGGCGGACAGACATGGGAAGTGACCTGTCCCCACCCACCACCCCATCCTAGTTGGTCCCCTCAGGGAACCCAGAGCTGTCCTGGAATGCTGATGACCTGCGAGCAACAACCTAGCTCACTGAGGATTTCCTTGTTATTTTTTTTCATTTCTTTCTTTTAATTTTCAGAGAAGTGGAACTGTTGTAGCATATGGAAGCTGGATTCCTAGTTTTCTGAGATGTGCCCGTATTGTTTTCCAGAAGGGCCAGAGCGGCCGGCATTCCCATCTAGCAGTGACTGTGGCTCCTTTCCCCCTAACGCCCATGCCAACACTGGTCGTTTTTGTTCTCCGTGATGTGTGCCAGTCTCACCAGTGTCCGACTATATCTCACTGTGTTTCTGATGCGTATGGTCCAGCAGTGTCACTTCTTTGCATCTACCCTAAGGGCCCAAAACCTCTATTCAGAAAAGATGTTTGTGCTCCTGGTTTGTTGTAGCACTATTCGCAACTGCCTGAACCTGGAAACAACCCGAGTGCCTAAGAACAGTGGATAAAGGAAGTCGGGTACACGGACACATGTGTACACATGGTGGAAATGTGCTTCTTCACTCTCCATCATAGCAAAGCGTGTGAGGGTAGGGGGCTAAGAAAGGAGAAGTGGCAAGGAAACTGAGAACAGGGCAATGGCACGGTGAAGGAACTTCGGTGCAACTACTCGCAGAATTTTCAAAGGTACTGCAGACACCCAAAACAGTGACAGGTGACATTCAGCAGTCACCGTGAGGCAGCTTTGCTTGTGTCATCTCTTTCCAACTCTTTCAGGCTGAGTTTAAATAAAGGCTGGATTTCATGTTTTTGATGCCTCCAGCAAAGACTTAGAATGCTTGAAATATACTGCGGGATTCCTACGTGGCTCCCGGTTCCTTTGAAGGCCGCACGCTGGGAAAATACTGGAAGCTAAAGAACTGATAAGTGATGGTGTATACGAGGCAGCCGAGGGTTCGCTTTTTTAATTTTAATGCCTTTTTCAGATATCCTTTCATCATGAATGTTACTTTTAAGTGGAAAGAGGGAGGGAGAGTCCCTTCAAGGTGATCTGGGGACAGCAGGGTGACCTTCGCTACAAAAAAAGAGGAGGAGGAGAGATTTCAGTGTCGGGCAGAACCTGAATTTCTGGGCCTGACCCTAGCCAGGCCAGAAGCCTCAGGACCCGCCCCTGCTCCATCTGGCTCTGCAGAGGTGGGAAAAAACACTGCGAAGGAAACAAAGCCACCAAAACCACAGGGCTGCTGCCACCGCACTATCGACCAAAGCACCAGGCGGTCATTCCCGGTGAGAACAGGAAAAAGGCTTCAAGGAAAGACGGGGGCAAATTCAGGCCAGCTCACAGCACACGCAGGAAATGCAGCGTCCCGGCCCAGGGCGTGGCCATAGCTGCATGTGTCAGTCGACCCCCAGCCTGTCCCCAGGGGGATCCCTAGACTTGCTCCTTTTATTCCCCGACCCTTGCGCTTTGGGAACTCCTGATAACTCTCCTGAGGGCAGAGGGGAAGCGAAATGCCAGGCAGTGCTGTGCCATGTGGTGAAAGAGCCCTAGAAAAGATTCAGGCGGGGGTCCTGCATCTCCAGAGGGGCTCCCGGAGAAACGCCAGGCACCAGCAGACCCTGCACACAATGGCAGGGAGCGTCAGGGGGAGAGACGCAGGAGGCTCCCAGGAGGCTCGCAGGAGGCTCGCGAGAGAGGCAGGCTCCTGGGCGTGACAGAGCAGGGCTGCCACTGGATCCCGGAGGGGAAGAGCCAGGCCAGAGCAAGAGCAGCGTGGGAGGGCTGACCTGGGCTGGGTCCCCGGCACCCCAGGGGGTTCCCAAAGCTCCGCCAGGAGTGCTCCCTGAGCTCAGAGCCAGAAGGAAGCCCTGAGCACTGCCAGGAGGGGCCTGAAGACAAAAACAATTTAACTGAAAAAAAAAACTTTTTTTTAAAAGTAACAGCTATTTGGAGACGCAGACTTCTGGGTCATGAAATATTTCTGTTCTGGTTTGGTGGCCATACCCAGCAGAGCTCAGGGAGCACTCCTGGTGGGGCCCAGGGAGCACTCCTGCTGGGGCTCAGGGGACCATGTGTGGCCCCCTGGACTGAACAGTACTGGGATTAAGGTGCTTGCCTTGCATGCAGCCAACCTGGGTTCTGTCGCTGACCGGGAGTGATTCCTGAGCACAGTCAAGGAGTAAGCCCCGAGCACCACCTGTGTGGCTCAAATCCCCCAAACCATACCGGGGCGAACAGGATCCCACCTCTGGATAGAGGGTGATTCAGAGCAGTGTTCTTCAACCCTGTTACTAACCTCTGTGGACCGACACCTGCATTTGGGACCAGAGATCGGCAGTGACAGTGCGAGGACAGAGGTTCCCAACCTTTCTGCACACAGGCACTGGTTCACAGGCCAGCGGGCCCACCTGCCACTTAACAGATGAGCAATCTGAGTTCTGAGGTGCAGGGGTGCGAAGGAGAAGCATCAGGACCTGTGTCAATCATGGGTCCCGTGGACCCCCACCCCCACCTTCTCCATCAAGCTTCAGCTGAGCTCTGCCCTCTCCATACAAGGCCCCAGCTGTCCCGGGGTCCAGAACTCAGACACGGAAGTCACACTCCCACAGGGCCCATCCTGGCACCACGTGGCCTTCTGGACACTCCTGGGGAAGGCCCTCCAGTGAAATCAAGTGACACTGCCAGGGGTTACCTTTGGGCATGATCTGGTGCATGGCCACCGAGAGGAAGAAGATGGAGTCGCTGTAATAGGTCCCGGAGCCAGCGCTGAAGTGCTTCTGCATGGCCTCCACCACGGGGAACAGCTTGTCCGTCAGCACCGCCACGTCGTGGAACAGCACCTGTGTGGACGCGAAGAGGCGGGCATGAAGGCACAGTGCGCAGGAGTCTGAGAGGACAAACGCCCAGGGCTGGGGTGGGGCTGCAGGGGGAGACCCCCGCGAGAGCTGAAACACTGGCAGCAAAGGGGAGCAGGGCGGGGCGGGGAGATGTGTCCTGCCGCTCAGCTGCAAGCAGATGGGCCTGAAACTCAAAACCAGGCTCCAGTGCCGCAGATACTCAGAAGCACCAGGCACTGGACAACCCTCAGTCCCACGGCATGAAAATGACAGGAAACACTGAGTGTGGCTGGAAACTAACTCTTCACTGAGGGGTAACCTCCTAGACACACACACACACACACACACACACACAGGCACTAATGCCTCCGATACACTATTACACACTGAAACATACTAATACACTCTGATACACTATTATATGCTGAAACACTCTGAGACACTGTTACACACTGATACACAATTACACACTGATAGCACACTGACACACTCTGATACACTATTGCTGGTACACACTGATACATTATTACATACTGATACATGCACAGATACATACTCTATTGCTATCACACACTGATACACAGATACACACACTAATACACACTGATAACACATTGGTACATACAGTGATTCACACACTGATACACACGCTAAAACATACATGCTGATGCACATGCTCACATACACACGTTAGTACGCACTGATTCACACACTGACACACACGTTACTATTACACTCTGATACACAGTAATACACACTGATGAATGCCAGCCTCCCAAGAAGTTCTCCTAGGTGTGGCCCAAAAAACCAAAGGAAGGAAAAAAGGGAGAGAAGACAGGGGCGCAAATTAGCTGACATTTCCCATCCGATTTACTTCCTTCTTTTACCCTTTCTCTGGTCGCTTCTTGCTCTGACCTATTCTTTCAGGGCGCGGGACGGGGAGGGATGGGGCTGTACCCGGGGGTGCTGAGGGTTGCTCTCGGCAGCAATACTCCTAGCTTGGTGCTCCGGGGTTTTCCTGGCAGTGCACAGGAAACCATGCAGTGCTGGAGACTGAACATGGCGCTCCCAGAGGCAAGCAAGTGTCCACCACCAAGCCCCGTGTCCAGCCCTAGCCTGACTTTTCTTCTTGGGGAGCTCTCAGCCTGAGATGGGGAGCCCAGATCAGGCCCCCTGGCTCCAAATTCCATGGCTTCCCGCCCCGCCCCAGCCTTCTGGTTGCAGACACAACAAGCTCAACAGCAACCCCTCCCCAAACCAGGCCCTGAAAAGGCAATTCATCCCTCCCCCACCCCCACCTGCCTTCAGTACTGCATGCTCCTATCGGATCTGAGAGACCCTTGCTCATGGCCGGCCCTCCCAGCTGGGCAGAATGACTGGCCGTGCCATGCCCCCTGTCCTGTCTCCTTGGCCCCGCTCTTCCCTCCATGGCCCCCACCAGCCCCCAGCCATGCTCAGGCACACTCCCAGGTCCCACACAACCCACCCCCAACCTCCCCAGCCCCCTGTCAGGATTAGGGTCCCCACCCCCCACCGATGGGACAGGATGTGGCCTGGGTCTGACGTCACCCAGGACAGTCACCGAGATGGTGTGATAGGTTGCAGTGTACCTGGGCAAGGTCCTGAGTTTCCTGGACCCCAGATATGGTGGGGGTGACACTGCTCCCCCAAGTGCAGGGTGCCTCGCTTGCGCCCCACTGCACCCTGGACCCGAGTGCCCCAGACGCCTCGCTCAGGGGCCAGCGATCACCTCTGAACTGTGTGGCATTTCCAAGCACCATGGAAAGCTGGTTTTTGACAGGAAGCCGGGAGCAGGGGTTCTCAGAAAGCAAGCTTCTGACCAGGGAATCAAGGCAGGGTAAAGTATAGGCAAACACACATGCACACACACAAGACACACATGAGCAGGGAACACACGTGTGTACGCACGTGCGTGCATGCATGCATTATATACGCACGTGTGTGCACATAACACAAATGCATGCACACCCGTGCACACTCATGCTATACAAGAACACACCTGTGCATACACAGACATGCAAACATGCATGCATGCACACACACAGGCATGCACACACGCGCACGAGCACACGGCCGGGCCCGCCACAGCCCCACCAGGGCTGCCGGAGCAGCTGGTTCTTCTTCCCTACCTGGACCCCGTCTCTCCCCAAGGTTCCCCAGGAGCCCTGCATCCCGGCAGCATGAATAGATTGATGAGGACAAGCTGTACTCAGTACAGCGCTCCCAGCGCTGCAGGGTGAAACCGGCTCCCTGAATATTTCATAGCACAAATCCACTCAGATAAATTAACATGTTCCACGAAACATATTTTATGCAGCAAGAAGCAAAGCACAGACGCAGCCCATCCATGTGAATACGAACCTCCCCTCCCCCTCCCCCAGGCTCCTGGTGCCAGCTCTCAGACCAGGTCTGCACACCTGCTCCCCAGCACCACGTCTGGGTGTAATCACCACCCCCCCACAGCACCGGGGCTGCTCCCCAATACAGTGTGCAAGTTAGGCGAGCCCAGCACCCATCTGCAGCCCAGAGCCCTGGCCTGGGGCCTGGCTCAGGGCAGCAAGGCCAGAATGAAGGAAAGCGTAAGGAAAGGGAGAGGCAAGAGGGGGCACGGAAAATGCCAGCCCCTGCGCCCTTCTCCTCCTGGACAAATCCTCCCACTCCGGGCTCTGTGGGGAGGGCTACACTGAACATGCTAGAATGTTCAAGAACACACTGCTGCCCATCTGGAAGGCCACTGGCCAGCCAAGAGAGCCAAAGCAATTGACCCTACGGACAGAACACAAACCAAAATATCAAACCAGAGGCAGACTCACCAGAAAGAGCATATGCTTTGCATGGGCAAGGCCCAGCATCACATACACCTCCAAGAACCCCCAGGTGTGGCCCTGGTGGCCTCCCCATCATCCATCCAGCACCCCTGGGCCTCAGCACCTTGTGTCAAGACCACAACACAAGATTGAAAATTGCTGGCAGGGGCCGGAGCGATAGCACATAGCGATAGCAAGGCAAAGGGTGTTTGCCTTGCACGTAGCCGACCCCGGGTTGGATTCCCAGCATCCCATGTGGACCTTCAAGCAACATTAGGAATAATTCCTGAGTGCAGAGCCAGGAGTAACCCCTGAGCATCGCCCACGCAAAAAAAGCCAAAACTGCTAACAGTCAGAACCAAAAAGAGAGCAGAGTGAGCTGGCTTGCTCACGGCTGACCCGGGCTCTATTCCTGGTACCCCAGATGGTTCCCTGAGCCCCACCGAGCTCAGTGATCCGGCCTTCCCGGACTCGGCTCCCTCACCGCCCACTACTGACTTGACATGGGACATGGTTCCGGGGGAATTTACGCAGAAAGCAGTCAGGGGAAATGGGGTCCCAGCCCCCAAGAACCCATACTCCCATGCAAGCAAGTGCTGTCCCCACCATCCTATAATCGGCCATTTTAGCCATTTACTCTCTTCGAAGCTTCCAGAGTGAACTGACCCCAAGCCTGGGATGGTTTTACCACCTGTCCCACTGCCCGCACCCCCCACCGCCACCCGACCAACCAGGAGATGGAAGGCGCCCTGACTGGTGCCCCAGAGCAGCCGTGCCTTTGGGGAGTCCTCAGCCCCCCAGCATCCTCGAGCAGCAGCTCCGGCTCCCTCTCTGGCACTCCTCCCCCTTGAGCGTTCACTGAAACACGCATCGCGTTGTTGAGAGAGCGTGGTTACAGCCACATCCGCGTTTGTGCATTTGGTGGACAAAGTCACCGAGTATGAGCGGAGCCCACCGCCCCGGCCTTTCTCTCCTCCCCGTCTGGCTGAGCTTGGTTCTGTTCTTGGAATCCAAGGGTTTCTTTTCATTCGCCACTGTCCCGTCCCTTGCCCTAATTCTTTCTGTGTCTCTAGCCCTTGTCATCCTCCCTCTGATGTTATTTCCCTTGACGTGACCCTCCTACCCCACCTAACTCGCAGCAAAAGGCAAGATCTCATTTTTCCTCAGCTGAGTAGGGCTCCACTGTGTATGCAGGCCAGTTTCTTTTGTCACCCTCCCTGCGTCCCTCCCTCCCTTCCTTCATTCTCCCACCCCGACTGGCCAGCCACACCTGGTTGTGCTCAGGGATCACCCCTGGCCAGGTTCAGGGGACCGTACAGGGTGCTGCACATGTGGCCAGTGCCTCAGCCCCCCTCCCCCAAGTCCTCTCTCCAGCCCTGAGGCCCAGCTTCCGGGCCTCCTCCCCTGCGGTCTCCAGATCTCAGCTCCTGGGAACTGTGTGATGGTGGAGAGAGATGAGTCTCTATCTGCCTACACCTGAGCCCGGGGAGTTGGGGTTGTTCCTTTAGTAAGGTGAAAGCACAGACCATTCCACAGAGGGGACATTCAGGTCACTGGGGTGCCAGGCTTCCTGCAGAGCAGCCCTTCCCCACTACCCTCCTGGACCTGCGGCCGACCTGAGGCTTGGCAGCACATCCAGAAAGGCGGGGACCACTTCACTGACAGGGAAACTGAGGGCAGGAGACCCTCCCTCCCCAGAATGTGCAGTGGGGAGTGCCCCAAGGTCAGGCCCTGCCCCCATGGCACCTTTGCGCTCTGGAGTAAAGGCCAGCCCAGCTTCGGCATGAGACACCCTCCTGCCCACCCTTGACAGTCGGTCAAGGGGCCCCTGGCGCCAAGGGACACTCCTCTGGCCCTCCTGTCCTAGTGCCAACGTGGCCCCAAGGTTGTAGGAGCCCAAAACAGGTTCCCCCAAGGGCTCGGATGAGTGGCTGGGAAGGGGCCTCGGCCGGGCATGAGGAGCTGGGGAGACGCGCCCGTTCCGTGGGGAGCTGAGAAACTCACAGGGTCCAGCGGGGGCCACAGGCAGCGACCGGCCAGCGCCTGGTGGGACATCTGCACACTGAGGGTCTACGGTGCCGCCAAGGGCCCAGGGGAGAACTGAGTAGGCAGGAGCTGAGTCCCGAGGACAGCAAAGAGCACGGATAGTACTTAGGTCAAAACTACACAAAGCAC